CAGGGGTCTTGCATTGAGAGAAGCGCATGCCTAACATTCATGTTCAGTATAGCCACTGCTCCCCACCCCCGCCCCACCTCCACAAATCATCTCAGCAGCAGGCTCAGTCCACCGACTACCCCCATTTTATCCTTGTGCTCGTCATCTGTTTTCATTCTCTATTTCTACCTAATCTAGTTTCATCCTCCTTGTTCCAAATTCATCTCTGTTTTCATCCTCTGTTCTTATTTTATCCAGGAGTTCTAATTATAGAACTAATTACAGAGTAAACACATGTCCTAGGTTGCCAGAGTCAGCACACTCCCTGTTATCCCAGCGTAATTACTTACAGGACCCTCTTTCATTGTCAAACCTGCTCCAGTTTGGACGATTGCAGTTATCTCATCTTTCCATAAGTCACAGGCCAGCAGAGTTCAATGATCAACCCCTGACTACAGATGAAAGCATAGCAGGTACTATTAAAGTAACACTTCACCTTAATTACCATGAGAATTCCTTATTTCTGACACATTAATTCTTTCTCTTTAGTTGTTTTGTCCCTTTTACTTGGTCTACTCACTCTGGTTAGCCTGGAATTCAGACTGTATCTTGCTAGATTGTCAGTCTCTACCCTGTTACAAAAACCAGATCCACTTCCTTGCAACCACACTTTTCTGATTCCTAAAAGTCTTGACCTTGTTTCCTAATGCCTTGCAAGTTGACTCATATCACTACCTGCTACTGGCCTCACCCTAGTAAAACACTCCTAATCCAAAAAGGTTTCATAGTGAAACACAGACTCATAACTCCATTCTCACATCCTATCACTACTACTACTACTACTACTACTACTACTACTACTACTACTACTACTTTATTTTCATAGACACAGAACCATCTATCCTAGTAAAACACATCATACCATACTGTTTTATACCTGATAATTGTAAGAATACCAAAAGAAAAGAAAATGTAAGTAGCCTTAGTACTGTAGGAGTAGAGGGGTGCAAAGAGTCACAATAACAACCACCAATTTTACTGCCTCCGCCACCTGTGTCTTCTTACGCATTATGTAGTTAGCAAACATTACTTTACACCTCACAATGACATTAGGATGTTTCATGCTTAAACCCCATTTTACTAAGGAAAAACACTCCAACCTGTTAACTAATGCCGAAGAACACAACAGCTTATGAGTGGCACAGGTGAGATCTGAAGTCTCTATGAAACTGTGTTCTTCCTACAGATCATGCTGCTTCAGTAACCAGCATTAGGCTAGAGACAGTGTTAAAAAGGAATCTCTTGATTTATGAATACAGAGTATCTCAGAGTTCATATCTCATTCTGGGTAAAAAATATGTTTGTACTCCCCTGCACCAGGGGGTAAGGAGAAGAAGGAATACTCATTACAGTTTAGCTCTTTATGATTAGGATTTAGTTAGAAATCCTTGGTTTCCTCAACCTTTCTGATTTTGGTTTTATGGCAGGGGTAGGAATTCATTTTCTTTTGTTTTTCATACTCTTAACTCCCTTCTCTAACCTTGTTACCAAGTGATTTTAGGTTGTCCGTTTTTTTTTGCTCAGCACTTTCAAGATACTGTTTTATTGCTATTCTAGTAAATTAGCTGTAACAGCTAGTAAATTACACTAATAAATTAGCTATCAATTTACTGATCACTGGTTTGTTAATAAATCTGTCTCTCTCTGGCTGTTTTTCATACCTTCTCATTGTCTTTGGTGTTCTGCAGTTTTACTACAGAGTCTGTGTGAATTTCTTTTTATTTTACTTATTTTACTTGGGTTTTGATGAACTTGCTGGATTTGAGGAATTGTGACATCGATTCCGGAAAATTCTCAGCCATTATCCTTTCAGATGTTGCATCTTCCTCATTTTCACTACTACTTCCTTCTGGAAATGATTACAAGTGTTAGATCTTATTACTGTAACCTCCATGTTTCTTGTATGTTTTTCTATCCTTTTGTTTTTCTCTGCCACATTCTGTGTAATTTCTGCTATTCAACCTGGAAGTTCAATGAACTCTTCTACTATGTCTAAACTCTTTGACTATTCACAATATGTACTTTAATTTCACTGGTTCTATTTTTCATTTCTAGAAGTTCTATTTATTTTTCTCAATTCTACATAATTATTTTTAGTAGCCTCGTGTTTCTCACCCATGTTATCAATTCATTCTTATTTTCCTAAATATTTAAAACATACTTATTTTTATTCAATATATAAATAATGAAGTCCCAAGGGTAAAATCCTACTGTTGTTTCTATTTCCTCATGTATTATCCAATTTTTTTTTTGTGCACTAATAATTGTCAGATGTGTTCATGTGGGAATATTGAGGGTTTTAGATTAAAATCATTAACAATTTGTATAAACATGTGCCAAGCACCCTGGGAAACCAGTAAGAAGAAGATATTTTACTTCTTGTGTTGAGGTTTCTGAGGTTTAATAGGTGGTATATATTTAAATACCCAACTCTTATGTGGGCAGGACTGTGGTTACAAACTCTCAAAGAAAATCTCTTTTTTGTCCCCCATCAACTCATAAATAAGGTCAAGGCAGACAAGATACCCTGACATTCCATTTGTTGTTGTGTTGGGTAGGACAGGGAGTAAACCAAGGCAGGAAGGAGGAGGAGGGGGACATGCCTCACCCACTGACTCAGCAGTCCTGAGCCTGGTCCGATAGTATTGCCAGGTGCTCCAACATCATAAGAAACTCCATGCTAACATGGGAGGAGAGGAGCCGCTGAAATTCTATTAATCATTTCTACTACCTGGGAAAGAACGACTTTGAAACTGTGTATTCATTCCAAGGCCTAGAAGGCAGGATGGGGTCCCCAGCACCCAAAGAAAAAGACCATATGTAACTTTGGGTAACTGCCTCAACTTTAATTGATTTTCCCCAGTCACAGTATGTGTTTTGCAACAAGATGACCAAATGTGGTCTGAAGCAAGGTGAGGATCCAGGCTAACGGACCCCCACATACACCTACATTTGGGTAATCACGCCCCCCTGGGGGAAGCTGGCACCATCTTTGGCCATCAATCAGTATGTAACTTCTTCACCCCCATCAGGAAAATTATGTTAAGTCCTCAGAACAAAGGACCTGGGGCTCTTGTTGCCTATGCTCTTGCCACCCAAGCTCTTGCCTTTCACCCCCACCTCGGGAGAGTGTATCACCAATAAACCCTGCCTGCATGCTAACGGACTTGCTGATCTGTAATTCACTGCGTGGGAAGAACCCAGTTCCTCCCGTAACAGTTGGACAGATTTCTCTTTCCAAGCCTTCCCATTTCACTGATCATATAGACCTTCAAGAGTCTAAGCCACAGGCAGGGATCTCAGTTCTACCTCCCTGCCTTTACAGACCCAAGATCTGGTCTTATATCCCCTGTATGATCATTAAGATTTCTGTGTGGCTCTAAATTCTGATTACCTAGCTAAGTGCTGGGGGAAACAGGTTTCAACGCTGCCTTATCCCTCTGGATTGCTGTTTCAAACTACTCTTTTTTTATGGATGTCTGGGGATTTTCTTGTGAATGAATCTGCTCATTTTCAATGGTGTTTGTTACATTTGGTGAAGCATTTTGAGGATTATTTGTCTTTCATTTCCAGGGAAGAAGGACCAGAAAAGTCTTTTTACTAACTGGCAGAAGCCTAAAAAGGCTGGCATACTTTTTGATTACCCTGAATGGTTAGAACACGTGACTTTTGGTACCAGATTGTGCAAATAATATATATAACATTCAGAATGAGGTAAACTTATTCTTTCACAAACTTTAGTTAAGATTTTATCTCCTATGGGCAGTGAAACAGTGAACTTAGGAACCAATTGAGAAAGGGATTGGTTTGCAAAAGTAAATTGTTTGGAAGAATTTCCTAACACTAAAGTTCAAACTAGTTTGTTTTGGTATATACACATATGGCTTATTTGTTTTTGTAGCAATAGGAACAAAAAAAAATTTTTTTTTTATCATCTATTTACTCTCATTGCGCAAGGAACCTCACTCATTTAATTCTTAGCCCTATGAATCACTGTACAGATTTAAAGACTCAAGCTCAGGGATCAAAGCTGGCTCAGAAATTGCATAGCCAACAGGTCTTAGAGCTAGGGTTCAAATCTAGGTATGTCTGTGCTATTTCCATACTGCTGATGCAAGTGCTGACGCAAGCTTCTAGCAACAAGGCCTGGATTACAAAACTCACTGAAGTACACATAAATAGAAGACTCAGGTCAAAAAAGCCAATTTATTCCTAATTTGGGTGTCAAAGTCAGGAGTCACTGAAAAGAGTAAAATAAACTAGATTTCTTCCAAAGTAAAGGATCAAACAAAGTATTCCTGTTATTCCTATTGCTAGTCTACATTTTCAAACAGTACTCTTCTGAATGAAGCTTAGGAGATAAAGAGATAAACTCTAAAACCATGAAATTATAGAGCCACAGGTTAGAAGGTAAGGGGCAGATGGACTGTATTTTATAAGTAGCTTAAAATCAGAACTGGGTTTTTCTATGGTAATGAAACAAGGAGTTGAAGAAAGGTTCATGGCAAATGGGAGACAAAGCCTGGAGAAAAAAAATTTCACTGTATACTTCTTTTTGTATTTCCTTGTTTTTGAGTCATGTGACTATATTACATATTCAAAACATTAATTGTAAAAAACTAGTCTAAAAGTCAATTCTAACCAAGTGCTCTAACAAATCTGTCTATATAACAATAGAATAAAAGACTAGTGAAAACTAAAGAGTAAATGAAGTTCTTTCACTTCCATAATACTTCATACTTATACTATGAATGTTGTTTCAAAACATGACAAATCTAAGGAAGGTTAAAGCCTGTGTTTCATTCTAAAAAGAACTAAAGTAAAACCTTTTGAGTGGCTAGACTAGGGGGCCAGTGAAAATGAGAATACAGTGACTTATCTGAATCTATTTGTTGAAATCCAAGTTTAAAAAAACCACGTGCATCCCACATCAATGCCAGCTTGGCAGTGGCACCGCTTACCTTTAGGAAGAGCAGGTTTAACTGCCATTCTGCCAACCAGACATTCTCTCAGCATGGATTCGTAATTGACCCAACGATGAACCTGGTGTGGGATATGAATGACAGAAAAGTAACACGACTAACTCCAGGAGATGCTCTGATTTTATTCTGAGCAATACGAAACATTTTTATCCTTCACTGAAAAAACGAAGAAGCAGATTCAGTTTGCCAACAGGGTAGTGACAGAAGGGCGGCATACAGAGGGGACAATGTTCTCCAACTGCTGTCTGTAGACCTCTGGAGGTTCCTCCTGCCCTTTCAGAAATCTGTGGGGTCTCGCTTAGTTTCAAAATATACTAAAATTTATTTGCTTTTCTCACTCTGTTGACATTTGCACTGATTCAAAAAAGCAATAGCTGGTAAAACTGCTTTCATCTGAGCACAAATTAAGACAGTGATTTCGATCATATTCTTCACCAGACCCAAGAGAGGTGGAGTGAGAATTTTGTTTCATTTAAGAATATGCTTCATGAGGTAGAAAATATGAATTTTCATTTTTTATTTATGTTTTTAATTGAATTTATTGGGATGACATGGGTTAATAAAATTTATAGGTTTCAGGTGTACAGTTCTATAACGCATCATCTGTATATTGTATTGTCTGTTCACCATCCCCAAGTCAAGTCTTCTTTCATCATCGTTTATCCCCCCTTTACCCTCTTCTACTGCCCCCTACTCCTCTTGGCCTCTGGTAATCACCATACTGTTATCTGTGTCTATGGGTTTTATTGTTTGGGTTTTTTTTTTTGCTTGTTCCCTTCACCTTTTTCACCCAGACCTTCAACTCTCACCCCTCTGACAGCTGTGAGGGTGTTCCATGCATCTATGTTTGTTTCTATTTTGTTTGTTAAATTATTTTGTTCACTAGATTCCACATGAGTGAGATCATATGGTATCTGTCTTACACCTACTGGCTTATTTCACTCAGCATAATAATCTTGAGGTCAATCCAAGCTGTCGCAAATAAGATTTTTACGGCCCAGCAGTATTCCATTGCGTAAATGTACCACAGCTTTTTTATCCACTCCATCCAATGACGGGCACATTGGCTGCTTCCAATTCTTTGCTACTGTTATTAAATCGCAACCCTTGATTACAGATCTTTTTTATATTCTGTGTGACAAAATAAGAAGTGCTCAAAAATACTTCTATTGCAAAGTAAGATGACAGCCCTGAGGAAAAACCTCAAGCAACTGTTGGATCTGCAAATTGATCTGAGTTTTTCTTTCTTGAAAGGCTGTTCATGCTTATGATGAAAAGAATGACCTATAAAACAAGTGGTTATTCAGACTTGAAGATCTGACAGACATTTTCTTGAAAAGGAACAAAGTGAGACTGCCACTTCAAAGAAAAGAATTTAGGGTATTTGTTGCCAGCATTAAGGAGGCAATTAAATTTAAACAAACTTTCTGAAGGACACTTTCTCGATAGACATTAAAAGCCTGAAAATATGCAGCTCTTTCATTAATTCAGAAATTTATCTGAGAAAATACTTGCAAGTATGCATATATACAAGTACCTGGATATTTATCACAGCACTATTTCTATTGTCAAAATATTGCAAACAACCTAAATGTCCAATTGTAAAAGATCAGTACAGAAAAATTGTTTAATATATCATTCAGTAAAATACTCTATAATCACTAAAATAATTAGGTCAAATTTCATTTACCAAATATTTATGGAGCATCCAATAGTGTATAATGCACTATCTCTGGGGCTCTGGGGTTAGTAGACTTAACAGATAAATGAAGGAGAAGGATATTCCAGGAGGCAAAGGTTTGTGGCTTGTCAATTATGGAACTGATTTGCTCAGAGCACTTCAGTTTGCTCAAAGCAAAATCAATGTTGAGACTATTTACCTCATATAGTCTTTTCAGGGCCTCAAATAATGAATTTAAATTTATTCCACTCTCAGTGGTGAATCCTGAGAGTTGTAGAACAAAGTATTAATACTGACTTTAAGAATACAGTACTACTGCCTCGGCCAGGTGGCTCAGTTGCTTGGAGCGTCGTCCCGTACACCAGAAGAAGGTTGCGGGTTCGATTTCCAGTCAGGGCACATATCTAGGTTGTGGGTTCAGTCCCTAGTTGCAATGTGTACAGGAGGCAACTGATCAATGCTCCTGTCTTACATCAATGTATCTCTGTCCCCTACACCTTCCTTTTCTCTGAAATTGACAATCATATCCTTGGGTGAGGATTTTAAAAAGAAAAAAAAGAATACAGTAGTCCCCTTCTTATCTGCAGAGGATAAGCTCCAAGACCATACCCGCCCCCCCCCAGTGGACGCTTAAAACAGTGTAGAGTACTGAACTCTGTATATCCTATGTTTTTTTATACATACATACCTACGATAAAGTTAAATTTATAAATTAGGCACAATAAGAAATTAACAATAACTAATAATAACATAGAAAAATTATAACAATATACTATAATCAAAGTTATGTGAATATGGTTTCTCTCTCAAAATATCTTACTGTACTGTACTCACCTTTTCACTTACAGGAAGTACTTGATAGTTTCTCTTTGGCACATAAGAATTGCCAGGATCATTACTTTCAGGCTTTGGGGTCATTATTATGTAAAGCAATGATTACTTTAACACAAGCACTGTGAGACCAGGATAGCTGATCTGGTAGGCCAGACCATTACTAAGGGACTCACAGGTGGGAGCATATACTGAGTGGATATGATGGATGATTTGCATTCTGCTTGGGAGGTTCTTACTGCTGATTTAAGGCAAATTCCCATTGCAATTTGTTACTTGTTATTGCCTAGAAATTCAAGCCAACCAGAAAAGTTTGGGAACATTTTTCATTTCCATGAAAACTTGCATGCCATACTTTATATCTTTCCCATACCGCTTGATGCTGAATGTACCCTTCCGCAAGAATTTCCAGTAAACTTTAGTTCTCTTTATATTCCTCAGTGTTGTACATGGACCTGATTTAAGTAAGCTTGTCACAACTATCACACTGCTAAATCTGAGAGTACTCTTCCATTGTAATGCTATGATTTCTTTCAGCACCTTACCTGATCAAAAAGGTCCGTGCCGTCCAACCCTGCTGCTCTCATAAGTTCATCTTCTCCACCAGGATGATACTCCATATATGGGCTGACATTATATACAAGCCCTGTGTCAAAGCAAGGAGAAATAATATCCTAAATGAACTTTTTGAAAACTGTACAAACTACAAATATGTTCCAATAAATCTTCCCAAATCCACCCTATTTATTATGTCAAAGATTTAAGAATATAAAGGGTCTCAGATTTTTCCATACTTGCAAGCTATTAAGTTAGCATGGCCCTTTCATGCATCCTGTAAGAAAACACAAGACTCCTAAGTCAGAGACTTGGGACAGTTTAGTCTCACATCAGTAGCAGCAGCTAGAAAACCATCATGTGCGTGAGTTCTCTGAACCCCAATTCCCACAGAGCTATGTGAAGAGGGCTAGTTAATAACTGTATACCAATGTGCTGCATGACAGGAGAGAGACCCTGAGCTTAGGAAACTTGAATCTTTTATAATGGTCAATTAAGTATGCCTGCCCTTCGTTCTAAAAGGAGACATTAATATACTGAGAAGTAAGCAAACCTGTCAGAGGAAGACACTAGCTCTCCTATCATCTAAAGTTGTTCTATGCAAACATCTCTGAAAAGATTGTCCAGAACAAAGAAAGTCAATGCCTCTGCTTCCAAAATATTGCCCTATCTCCATCTCTCTCTCTCTCTCTCTCTCTCTCTCTCTCTCTCCACTCCATCATCTTCTACTGCCCTAGTAGAAGAAACTGATGAAAAAGAACTGAACTCTCATTCATGTGTCTGATCACCTCAGGAAAGGCAGAGCAATGGTGACTGGGCCACGTAGGTGTGCTCTGTGAAAGCAAACACAATTCTTTTCTGCAGTTGCTCAAGGAACAAAGATTATTGTTTAGATCTTACTAATCCTTTTATCTTCCCAAAATATTCATTTAATTTGTTCATATATTTAACTATAGTTTTATCTTTTCAGAAAAAGGAATAAGGAACAACAAATAGAGAATAGCCCAATGAACAGCCTTACCAAGTAAGTGAGTTGCTTTTTAATCCTTTACTTGTAACCTAAATAGGCAAATCCAGTCCTAAAGATACTCACATGTGCAATGAGAACAACTAATTTCTTATGTCTAGACTATGCCCTCTTTATATGATGACTTCCATGAATTTAAATAACCTCAGATAACTTAAAATGTTCATCCCATATAGTAATCTTGGAAGGAAAGAAAACACTGGATTTCAGACTCAAGAAACCTACTGCAGTTTTTCCTCCAATTTAATTTCCTCCAATTCAACCAGTCAGGATTTCTTCATAAAATTTCTCAAAGGCAATTTAAGCAACAAAGAGAACTAAGTTCACAAAAATCTCTTTCAGCAGTCCTCAAAATGTCTGGGGGAAAAAAAGAACTTCTGGAGTCCCCTTCTTTCTCTTTTCCATACACTCTTCCCCACCAAATTTAGAAAGAACTTACTGTTTAATCCCCCCAAATCCACAGACTGAAAATGTCAGAGATAAGGATTAGTATCAAAATTTTTCCCAATAGACTTTTTCAAACAGAGAACCCCCTTCCAAACAAAAGAATTCCAAACTTTCTGTCACCAAACCTAGAGTCCTAGTTTCTCAAGAACATGAAATCTACAACATATGATCTTAATACCTTCTGTGATGGAACTGCATGTGTTTCAGCAACCAGCAGGAAGATAAACAGGTAACTTTAACATCTATCAATGATCAGTATATAAAGCCTGAAATGTCTAACATGTGTTCTCTGCTTCCTCCAAACTCTTTAGATTGATACTTATCCTCTCGTCATCTTCCCATCCTTTCTGATAGATTAAGACCCAGAGCTAAAGAACGTCCCACCTTCTCCAAAAGAACGAAACTAGGAATGCCTATAAAACCCCTCATTATAAGGAATTAAGATTTAGATCCAACCACACTTGGCAGTCTTAGTGATTTGCTGATTATGAGACTGACACCCTGCCCCCTAATGCAACTGGTGCATCTCCACTGGTCCAGAGGCTCTTTCTTCCCTCTTCTTCCTCCCTATCTGCTTGTTTTTTTCTTTCAAAAGCATTTCCTAACAACTAAAACTTGGACCCCTGAAAGTGGCAGCAGAAAACAAATTCAAAGAACTTAATTTCATGCTTTTCCTTCATGCTTTATTGTATTCTATCTGTACTATACATGGCTTTTAGACAGCAATCTCTTTTGTGCAAGCTTTTTGCCTCCTACAAGTTCTTACTACCTGGTTTATAGAAACAATTTTGCAACTCTAAATTTTGCAATGACACAAATTAACTTCTTCGCATAGCTCTCATGGCTCAGGCGTGGCAGATTTGCACAACTGATTGCCCATTAAATATAAATATAAATATAAATAATACTTATGGAGCCACAGATACAATCTCAATTTGGTGCTAAGCTACTGATTCAGCAAAACCTAATAATGATATTAAGAACAAAAACAGGCAAAAACAGATTCATGAAACATTATGAATGCTGCTGTTAGGTTTTTTACATGGCCTTCGGTGGCACAGGGAGATTTAGGGAGTCTGCCTATTTATCTATCTACTTACCTATCTATATTTATCCTTTATGCTAATACTTTCTTTTGATTTGTATTTTGTTTTTTAAACTCTAACCAGAAGTGGTTACAATAAAAGGACTGACTGCTGCTAAGAAAAGCAACTTAATTTCACAATATATACATGTGCCAAGCAATAATGTTGTGTACCCTAAATTTATACAATGTTATTTTCAATTATATCTCAATGAAAGGGGGGGGAGGGGGAAAGTATGAAAAAAGGAGGAAGAAGAAGGAAAAGGAGGGGAGGAAAGAAGGGGTAGCAGCAGCAACTTATTAAAATTAAAATACAACAGTTCTGTTAAAAATATACCCCCTAATGTTTAAATACATCATTTTTAAATGCCCTAGCAACACTCGGGTGATTCTTACAGCTAATTCACCCTAGCAGAGGTGCAGTGCAATTGAAAACACACATGCGGTACAACTATATTGAGTTCTTTAAGCAATGTACTGGTAATACCTATTCTAATAATCTTCACACTAAATTATCTCTTTCGTGCTATATGTTTGAAACCTTAGCACTTAAACAAGTTCTTAGAATAAGAATTACCCACTTTAAAATTGTCAGAAATTTATACTGCCACTTAATCACAGAATGATAGTCTGAAGACTGGGAGAACTCTAACTGAAATTTTTAATCTGATCTCTCATTCATACAGTATTCATCTCTACAGAATCTACAAACAGACCATCATCCAGAATCTGCTTGAACAGAACCTGAGTCTAGGAGCTCACTGCTTGTTTAAAAGCTTAAAGAATCAACATTACCTTATGCCTGAAAACTAAAATTGCCATTTTATACAGAAAGAACTCTTTCCCATCTTTGCAACTGCCGCATCTAGTTTTTCACATATACTTTTTATATTTGTTGTTATTTAAATTCCAACTGTTACTGATAAAGACCATGAGAATCTTACAATAAAATACTTAAGTTTGTGTGTAAAAATTTAAAGAATCCACACCAAAACACGTAAAAAAAGAAAATACACTAGCCGCCTCACCTAGGTAACTATGTTGCTACCATTGAACATTAAACCTAATCCTGAACTTCCTAGCAGCCAGAGCCAAAAAGAGAGCTAGTTAAGAGTGCACTCATTATGTGAGCTTCAAAAGCATTACAAGGACACAAGCAAACAAACAGAAAAAGAGAGATTCATTAGTTAGTTAAAATGGAGAAACTCCCTGTGAGAGTTTGTTATTGCTATTGTTAAGAATCATGAGTCCCTATGCAGGGGCCATTGACCACAACAGATATTACAACCTAACAATATGCAGAAACGTTCTTCAGGTAGCATTCCTCCCACCCTCCCCGGCCCTAGGTGACGGCTATTGTACTTTCTGCCTCTTCATATTGTGTATTTGGACATTTCATATAAATGGAATCACACAATAAGTGGTCTTTTGCGTCTGCCTTCTTCCACTCACTATAAATATTTTCAGAGTTCATCTATGTTGTTGCACGTATCAGTACTTCCTTTCTTTTAATGGCTGGATAACCTTCCATGTGTAAATATGCCACATTTTGTTTATTCGTTCATCTGTTCATGAACATCTACGTTGTTTCCACTTTTTGACTATTATAAATAATGCTGTTATGAACATTTATGTCCAAGTTTTTGTGTGGACGTATATTTTTTATTTCTTTTGAGTATATACTTAGGAGTGAATATGTCAGGTCACATAGCAATCTATGCTGAACCTCTGGAGGGACTGCCAGACTGTTTTCCACTCTGAGCAGCAATGTGTGAAGGTTCCGATTTCAAGAGCTCTCTTTCAGTCACTCCTCCAACTTCCCATAGGCAGGGAACAGCTTTTCTCACCAATACAACCTGAATCATACATTTCTCAGATAACTGACCTCAGAACTGGACTGCAGCATGCTTCAACTTATTCTCAACCCCCAGCTCTACATGAGACAAAGTACAATGTTAGACTGAAGTGACATTTTTTACCTACCTATTTAATCTATCTTCCAGATGAGGCTCCCACAGTTTTTCAGGTTAGGCAACCATATGGTGGAATCCTAATAACCCTCCATAAGAAGTGACTTGCATCTCCATGGTTCAGGCCACACACTCACTAACCAGTAATTTTTCATTTTTTTCTTTTTCCTATTTGTAAGTCAGAGTCTAAAGTATGGTCCTGAAAGAGCAAGACTTTTTGGCTGGTCCAAGACTAACATTTTTTCTAGTAATTCTAAAATGCTATATTCCTTTCAAAAAACTCTCATTCTTTCACAAATGTCTAAGATTAAATACAGAAGGTGACATGAGAATACAGTTGTTGTCTATTAAGCCATAGAGTAAAAATGTTTGCCAAAAAGTAAAATAATACCAATTTTCTAATTTTTGCTTTATAAAATGTAGTTCTCATGTATTATTTATACGTAGTTTATTTTTAACTTTTATATTAAGTTTATAATATTCTTTAAATTTCTTAGTTTTAATTCCTAAAAGGTAAACATCAACAGAGCCATCATAAGCAAAGGCCTTTGGGGCCCTCAATA